ATATTTATAACTTACAATATCAGTAAAACCAAAATTTTACAAGAAAGATGAAACAAAACGCTGAAATTTAACCCTGAAGTCATTTTCTTAGGTTAAAAGGAATTGGAATGTCTGTCTCCAAGCGTGAGGCGGCGGCGGCGCCCTCTACGGAGGAGGTCGACGATTTGGAGCGCAGCATTGCGAAGACCAAGATTTCTGGCTCGGATGCCCAGGTCAATGGTGGTGAAAACCCTCCACATTTTCCTTCAGGGGTGAGTTGGTTCAAGGATTCTCTATTCTGGAATGACGATTGGACTTGGAGTGAGAGTTGGTTTCCGACGGAGGAGGAACCCGAAGCCGACGAAAAACCGGACTTGGAGGAGGACATTACGTCTCACGAATCTGAGGATGGTACTCCCGAAATCCGTTTTTCGCGACGGTACGCGAAGAAGTTACAGGAGCCATGGAAGAATTGTTTGATTTTAAAAATACAAGGTAAGACAGTGCACTATGATGTTATGCATGCCAGGGTTATTGAGGCCTGGAACCTTGTGGGTAATTTTAAGTTGTTAGATGTTGGTTGTGGTTTCTATGTTGCTAAATTTGTTCTTAAGGAGGATTGCTTTAGGGTTTTGAAGGGTGTTCCATGGAAGATTTTGGACCATTACCTCATGGTTCATCGTTGGGAACCAACATTTATAGCACCGAATCAGTCTGAATTTGGGATGACATCAGTTTGGGTTCGATTGCCTCGGTTACCAGAGGAATTTTATGAAGAGAAGCAGCTTCTGAGGATTGCGGAAAAGATTGGGAAGCCTTTATGCATTGATGATAGCTCAATCTCCATTTCAAGGGGGGAGTATGCTAGGTTATGTGTGGAAGTTGATGTTTATGAGCCCCTGGTCTCTGAAGTCCAGGTTGATCATCATTCCCTGTCTGTTCAGTACGAGCGGCTTGATGAAATCTGCATTGAATGTGGTAAATTTGGGCATACTTCTGAGAATTGCAGTGTTGGACTAGTGACTTGGAAGCCTCCTCCTGTGGGTGTTTTGAAGTTGAATATAGATGGGTCAGTGCTTCCATCATCAACATCAAAGTGGGCAGAGCTGAAGAGTGCGGGGGGCCTCATTCGAGATCACTTGGGGAAATGGGTAACCGGATTTGTAGTGAATTTTGGTCTTACTGGTGCTATAAATGGAGGAGTTGACGTAGCTATACTTCAAGGTCTGCAGGAGGGTTTGCGACTAGCACATTCCTTAGGGATTGAGCACTTGCAGATTGAGCTGGATTCGCCTAGAATGGTGGAGGATGTGAATGAAGGAGTTGATGACCGTGATCCTAGTGGTGATTTAGTTAGAGAATGCCAGCGCCTTTTGAAGGATAATTGGAGCGTTAGCCATGTGCTAAAAAGAACAAATAGTTGTGCAGATTTCTTGGCTAACTTGGGTCATTCTTCTGCAGAGGGTACATCTGTTTTGAAGGAGCCTCCAGAGGGTATTCTTCAGTATATCTCTTAGGTGATGGTAGGTAAATAAATAGTCTCTATCTTATCTCAAGTTATATTCACCATGGGTTTAGTTCACACCAGGTGTATTTTGTCATGGTATGGTCTAGTCTTTATCTTAATGTTATTATATTCTAATATATATCAGAATTTCGGAACTTAATTTCAATTTTTTGCATAAGTTGGAGGCAAGTTATAACTTGGTGTGCTTGTCTAAAGTTAATGATTTGAACTCTAAGATTGTAATTAATTGTAAATACCAAAAGTCTAAAAAATAAGAAATAAAAAAAATGAAAATGAGAGAAGGCGGGAAAGGCGTGAAACGAATTTTATTTGGAAAAGATTTATCATTTGTTCCACCTCTCTCTTACGTGATTGATGAAACGTAGGGCTGTGCATTATACTATAAATGCCACAATTACAATTATATCGTCCTATTATCGGTGAAAACGATATGATAAATTATCATATGATAAATTTAAATGATAATATGACAATACTATTTAAATTTGTAATACGATATTAGTATTGGAGGTCATTACCATTTTTACCATATGGTTATCAAATTTATCACTCATTCAAAACTTTTTTCTTTTTTTTTTTTTATTCTACAAAGTTTTCAATTGTTGTTAGTTCTCTTTTTTTTTTTTTTTTATGTGTACGTGTTTTGTATAATTATATATTTGTATACTTCAAGATGATGAAGAACGGTATGGAGAAAATAAGTTTTTAAAATAATTATAAGTTTTTAAGATTGAATTTTGAATGACTTGAATTTTGAATGACTTGAATTAATTGATAATGAAAAAAATAAGTTTAAAAATGGTAATATGGTATGGTATTGGTAAAGTAAGTTTCATTACCATTAAAAACAGTTAGCAACCATTACCAAAAAATCATTAATTGGTATAAAAGTGATAATTCTTTTTTATTATCACTTAAAATGATTACCATCATTTGAATGCGATACGGTTATCATACTGTAACATGCCCAACCCTAATGAGATGTTAAAATAAAAAGCTGATGTGGTTTTTTTTATTGGGCGGTGTCATAGTAATAATTTTTTTATATTATTGTTTATACAATTTTTTCATGTGAGTGGATGCATTTATATGAATTAAAAAAATTAACTATTTGAATGGTATTTAAGTTGTAAAAAAAATAATAAAAAAAATTATCCCAAAATTATTTTCTTTTTTACTAACCGGCATATGACTGACGTGGCATTTCGAGATACAGCAGTCTATCTCCTCCGTCGGGGCGTGAAGCGACGCCGCCTCTCTCTACGGAGGAAGCCGGCGATTTGGAGTGCAGCATTACAAAGACCAAGACTTCTGTCTCGGACTCGGATACTCAGGTCAGTGGTGGTGAAAACCCTCCGCATTCTCCTTCAGGGGTGAGTTCTGTCAAGGAGGCTCTAACCGAGGGTAAACCTAACGATGATTGGACTTGGAGTGGGAATTGCTTTCCGAAGAAAGAGGAACCCGACTCTGACGACAAATTGGACGTAGAGGAGGATGATATGCATGACGAATCTGAGGGTGGTACTCCCATAATCCATATTTCGCGACGGTACTTGAAGGAGTTAGATGAGCCCCGGAAGAATTGTTTGATTTTAAAACTCCAAGGTTAGATCGCGCAGCATGAGGTTATGCATGCTAAGGTTATTGAGTCTTGGAATCCTGTGGGTGATTTTAAGTTGAAAGATTTTGGTTATGGTTTCTATGTCGCTAAATTTCGTCTTAAGGAGGCTTGCTTTAGGGTTTTGAAGGGTGTTCGATGGAAGATTTTGGACCATTACCTCATGGTTCAGCGTTGGAATTCATGGTTTATTGAATCGGAACAGCTTGAGTTTGGGATGACAGCGATTTGGGTTCGATTGCCTTGGTTGCCAGAGGAATTACATGATGAGCTCCTGAGGATTTGGGAAAAGATTGGGCAGCCTTTGTGCATTGATGATAGCTCACCTCTCTTCCAAGGGGTACGCTAGGTTATTTGTGCAGGCTGATGTTTATGAACCACTGGTCTCAGAAGTCCAGGTTGATCATCATTCCCTGTCTGTTGAGTACGAGCACCTTGATGAAATCTGTTTTGAATGTGGTAAGTTTGAGCATAATGCTAAGAATTGCAGTGCTGGACTACTGGGTTGGAAGCCTCCTCCCATGGCGGCCTTGAAGTTGAATATTGATGGGTCGGTGCTACCATCATTATTATCAAAGTGGACAGAGCTGAAGAGTGCAGGAAGGCTTATTGGAGATCACTTGGGGAAATGGGTTACTGGGTTTGGAGTGAATTTTGGTACAACTAGTGCTATAAATGGAGGTGTTGACGTTGCTATACTTCAGGGCCTGCGGGAGGGTTTGCAACTAGCACATTCCTCAGAGATGGAGCTGGATTCAGCTAGAGTGGTGAAGGCTGTGAACGAAGGAGTTGTTGACCGTGATCCTGATGGTGATTTATTTAGGGAGTGTCAGCATCTTTTAGAGGAAAACTGGAGTGTTAGCTTTGTGCTTAAAAGAGCAAATGCTTGTGCAGATTTTTAGGCTAACTTGGGTCATTCTTCTGCAGAGGGTACTTCTGTTTTGATGCAGCCTCCAGAGGGTATTCTTTAGTATATCACTTAGGGGATGGCTAGAGTAAATAACCTTTATAGTTTCTGTTATGGTCTAGTCTTTGTTCAGTATATATTTGTTATGGTACAGTCTCTATCTCATGCTATTATATTCTAATATATATATCAAGAGTTCAGAACTTAATTTCAATTTGTAGTAAGGGTAATTAAGAAGCTTGCATGTTTCCTGTTAAATTCCCTGAAAGGGAGAAAGAACTCAATGAGAGGGACTAGTTTTAACCTCAGAGGTGCACAAGAATGCTGAAAGTTGGGAGGCTGGTTGTTATTTGGTGTGTTTGAAAAACTACAATTCTTGGTAATGTTATCAGGATATATAGAACAAAACTGTCGCCCTAGCTAGTAATACATACAGAAGAAAAGAAGCGAATAAATATTAAAAGTACAATTTTATGGGATATGAAGTTCTTAAATTACATTTTCTAACCGATTACACAACATTTTAAACATGGTGCTCACTCACCTCCAAGAGCCTGCAAGCTTTTGAGGCATTTGAAGAATGTATAACAAAAACTGAAATACATGGACTAAATGAATGAACTGTGGCCTCCCCCAAGTGATACTCTTGGCTTGAATACAACAGACACCATCAAGCAAGGGTAATGTGTAAAACCGATGCTCTGGAAGAAAAAAAAATGGAAGCAAATTGGAAGATCTCAAAAGGAAAAGAACTATAGAAAAGGATTTACTAGAACAGAAGATAGATCATCTTACATTGAGGTAAGACTACAAAGTCTTACATAAAATCTTGGCCATGATGATTATATATTCGAATTCAAAGAAACTATAGGAATCTAGTAAAGAAATTTGGGTGAGATATTAACTTACTGGGACACTTAGTAGCACTCCATGAGGATTTACCAAGACAGGAAGGCTTCTTCTTGCCGCCAAAGGGATAGATTTCAGTGATCGAAGAGCTTTTTGTGCAGACAACCTTGAATAATCTCGACATGGTGTTTTCTTGTCCATCATTTGGTTTGCTTTAACGGAAGCTGGAACATTTTTATTCTCTGTACCTGGGCACTTGGACAACTCAGCAAGATATAGCCAATCAGCTTCAATCATATGACGCACCTCAGCTACACTGTCATCACCTATTGTACAATAACTACAACAACTGAGGTGACTTTCCCCTCCGAAATTTGTGTTACAAGATGTTTCTCCTGAAAATGCCTTGTTGGAAATTTCCTTTCTCAGTTTCCATGTGACAATGAACCTGTTCATGAAGTAGCATGTTTGCCCTGGCTGAAGTAGTTCACTTGGAGATTTGCTAACATTTTCAACTTCACGTGCTTCATAGTCAAAATTGACATCAGTTTTAGACCTAAAATGTCTGACTTCCTCAGACTGCAGTAAAAGAATGTTCCTATAGCTGGTCTCACTGAGAATATCCAGTCTCCTTGCTTCATCTAGAACTGATGCAGAACCCAAGTGCAAAAAATGTACCTCTGATGCATCAGGAACCAGATTATTTGAATATGACTCCCCATTTGCTATAATATGTTCTAACTCATTTGGATCACAATCCTTATACACCTCATTAGAGTGCATGTAAAACACTTCAGATTTTGAAGGCATTGGACATTCAACAGAGCAGCAGATAAGAGCTTTGGTTCCCTTAGAACCAGGAGCAGGAGAAAGGTAGCAACCAGCTGCAGTAAGGGAGTTCTGAAAGTTGTCAAAAGTGACCAATCATGAAATCCCAGTGACAATTATGAAATTAACAATTTTGAAGGAGAACCATAAGAACTGATATACATGGACAATGAAATTGTACCTTGCATGGAGTAGTACGGATATAATTTAACAGCAACTTTGAAGTACTACCTCTAATTGGCCTCTGCCTTTGTGAAATAAACTGAGATGTTCAAAACAAAATAGCATTAACATAAGAAGTTGAAAAACATATTAATATAAGGCATGATAAATGACCAGTTACCAGTAAGACCCATGCAAGAAATCTTGAAAGGAATATGTCCTCAATTTTTGATGCATTAAGAATCTTCAAATCAATAACAGCATATCCCTGCTGTAGTAGTAGTAGTAATGATAACCCCCAACCCCACCCCAAAAAGGGCAAAAAAAAGAAGGAAAAAAACAACTTATTAATGCAAAAGGTAGGTGAGGGGAAACAAAAAAGCAACATTCAAAATAATGCTTACATTCACTATGGTGACTGCCTGATTTATCAAATTGTGACATATTTTATCAACATAGGCACGTGTTTCTCTACAGGCAGAAATAACTGCAAGCAGTTCAGACTTCAAAATGCCTGAAAAGTATAGAGTTATTTAAAATTGGAAGTAGCACTACCCAGCAGTCAGACAAATAGGTTTAATATATTCTGGAAAAGGAAAACTACAAACTCCATATAAATTCAAGTTTTTGTCACCTGACAGAACAGGAAGCAAAAATGCCACAAATATAGCAAATTTATAACTTTAAGAACATGCATCATTAATTGGATTCACAGCAATCATGCCAGCTAAGCCATCACATCAATTAGAACTCACATGATGACAAATTTCCTAATGACATCCGAATCCTATTCCGAGCAAATAATGGACTTCGATTTGTTGGATCCTCAACCCATTCTTTGTGAAACCTGTGACATACCTACCAACAAGAACAATGGCATCTTTTTAACACTGACAAAAATACTGAGAAAAAAATAGAGAGAGAAAGAATAAAGAAAACCATTAGAGGCCATTTGGTATGACATGGTGTTTCAAATATCAATCTTGATCTATTTTTAGGAGCCTATATCTCAGATGATTATCACTCTAGATACATTCTCCTAAAGAATAGATCATGGGGAATATTTGGAACATTACTTGGAACATCACCGTGTATCAAATGCCACCTTACAGAACAGAAGTTCAGAGAAAACTCAATTCATTTGCAGTAACCTTGTACAAATCTTCCTTTGAAAAATCCAGTAATGGTCGCACTAGAAGAATACTCTGATTTTTTAGATCTCCCTTATAGCAATGCACATGTGAAGAGAATAATTGAGAAGTGAATGCCATACCAGCAAGTCCAAGGACCCCACTACCACGAGATGATCTGAGAATGAATAACTCTGCCTACAATGTAAATAAAAAATAATAATAATAATAATTAAATATTCCTCAGAATGCATACATATTCATGAGAAACCTATACTACAAGAATAAAGTGAACAGATAGCTAATCATTTCCCAATGCCAATTCTCAATCTTGAATGTACAAATAGACAAAACCTACTCATGCATAAACAAAATGTAAAGAGTTAAATCAATGGTGTTCAAACCTGATCATCTGCATGATGTGCTATAAGCAAAACCCTAATCTGGTTTTGCACACAAAGATCTTGAAACATTTGATACCTGAAGTTCAGGTAGAGAATTTTTATCAAATGATTATATACATCAAATCAAACCATGATTTCAAAGCTTTTTTATTCAAAAAAA